GTCAGCAGGCACAGAGGCAGCCTCAGCAGCAGCAGCAGAGGGGCAGACAGCAGGCCTGAGTTTACGCTGTCGATCAGGCAGAGGCCGAGCAGCAGCCAGGTACCATGTCCGGAATGGTTGTTCTTAATAATGTTCTTGTGTTTGCTTTGTTCGATACTGAGCGACACATACTTTCATTTCACGATGATGTCTTGATGCCATCAGAGTTCGCGCTACTACCGCTATCGATCCTCTTGAGGTGAGTTTGGTCTCGGGACGAAAGATAGTGACTTCAGCTAAAGCTTCAAATCTTAGCCTTTCCATCGGTGGCCGAGTTTTGTATACCGAAGCTGTAACACCCCGAGTTTATTAATAAAGGAAATACTAGCTTTTAGTTTGAGCTAGCCTTTGTTAATAAATAATCAGATTCATATTCAAGTTTAAGCAAATCAGTTAATCAGATTCTAAGTTCGACTATTAGTCGATATGTTATTCGATTGATAATCGAATAAGTTTTCAGATTTTAATTCCGATTCATTTAATTATTAAATGAGTTTGGAATTAATAAGCTAAGTTGACGAACTATTCGAAATATTTATGTTCGGATTAATCGTCTAAGTCAAACGTATTCGAATTAACTTTCGAATTGTCATGTTTATGTTCGGAATAATATTCCGATAGTTAATCCAGTAGAGTTCCTCATGTCAAGTTCGGTATACCTGTACTGTGACGCGTTCACATTGGTACACCGTCCATTGTTAATTAAGTAATGGTCATTAACCTTGCTTAATTAACTTAATCATGTTTAAGCTAATTAATCGAGATTAGCTTAAGATAATCATGATTAGTTTAATGTTAATTAAGATTAATTAACATTAATGAGGATTAATTAAGGGATAATCATGCTTAAGGTGTTAATGAGCAAGTCATTCAGTTTATTGATATAAATCATGTTCTAGTTCCGATATAATAATGTTGTCAATTATTATTTTCGGAATTAAGTATTTTCAGTTGAGATTACTGAAATCTATATTCGACGTACTGTTTACGTCGGAATAATTTTGGTAATTAAGTATTATGTTTAATTGGATAATTAAACATATCTAAGTGAGTAATTAAGCAATTAATCCTAAGATGATGCCTAAGTCGTGACTTAGGCCATTATTTTCTAAATTTCAGCAGTTAGGCCGTAAATTTCTTTACAAATTGGAAAACCAATT